CTATGGTCTCAGAGATGGTATGTTGTGGTCCAGACTGTGTCAAAGTGGGCCAACTGATAAGAAAACAATCAGAAGCATCTTGTTTTGCAATGCAGATACACTACATTTCACTTGGTGTGAAGCGCTAGCACCAAGGATCTCCTGCTATGAGTAAAATAGTACAAAGTGCTTCACAAAAACGGAATTCTGATGTCTTAACAGTTTAAGATACATCATTTGTATGAAGAGAAATGTTAACACTCAAAATAGTCTGACACATTTATGAATCCCTTATTGGACATACACCAATTAATGACATCTACGCTGAACTGGACCATTGGACCGGACCCTACCAACTCACTATACTGGGGCCCTCCTACTTCAAGTCCCACGGGTTCACTCTGAACATGTAAAATGCACCTTTAGCTTTTTTGCTCCAAAATGGATTTTTTTTTTTTTTTTTACTATGTACTCTTAAGATCGACACTCTCAATCCTCTTGGGACAGATGGAGTCAATTATCGCAAATCATTTCACCTCATTGTTGGATTGTTTCTCTGAGTATTGTTCTTTTTGGTTTGTTTTAATTGTTGTAACTGTGCAGTTTTCTAACTCCAAACCATTGTAAGTGAGGGAGACTCAATAATTTTTAGAGGCTTTAGCAAAGGTTGATGACATATTGCTGCACTCTCTCAGTCTAGTCTGTTTGATGGGAACAGAGCCCGGCGTCACCCTTGCTGACAGGTGAAATGGTGCACAGGCTCATGCTGTGTCATGCTGATTCCACCACAGTGTGTGTCATGTGGATCTCAGAGCTGAAACGTTGCTGTGCTGTACTCTTGACATTGTGATGCCTGTAAACATAATCCACTGTCGGTTGTCCTTGCCCTAAAATCTTCCCCTATCATTACAGCTGTGTTTACAGAAGGACTCGCATTGTTTGCTAGCATGTGATCTCCCCAAGAAAACGTGGTGGTTTAGAGTCACACTAAGACGCACTGTTTTCCACCTGAAACACTTAATCACTGTGGGGCTGATTTGGACATACAGTATCTCTATCTCTGTTTGTTGACTTTCGTCTGGTCCTGCCAGGTTAACCATGTGCAGATGTCTGATTTGGGACTTTTCTTTTTGGATAATTACTCTATCCAAACTTCTGCTTGGACTTTCCAATTTGTTTGGTACTGAAAACTAATTGTGCTCTGCTTGCAATGGATTCATGATCACTTTTAGGTGTTTAATTAAAGGCGATGTTTCATGATGATGATGATGAGGTGTTTATCTTTGCAGCCTTGCCGTTCAAAATAGTGCCTTTCTCAGCACAGAGTCCGATGATCTGATAATCCCATATGGATTTCTCAATGCTGGTGTGAGGAAAACTTTGCCAGAATTTATGACACATTTATTCAAATGTGAATACTGCTGGCATATCACACTGCACACACGCACAAACACCGCAAATTTATATCCCTCCCACCTTAACTGCAGGCCTTGCTTTCTATCTCGCTCCACAGGGGCACAGAGCCTGACCACAGACATCATACTGATTGCTCACCATGGTCGAGCAGTCTGTCCACATTCCCACCCTGATTCACTATGTGCTGAAACCCAACAACGGAAAACAGCGGTTTGAGAGTGTCTGGAGGTTTGCAGACAACACTGAGCGTCCATTGCGTCCCTCCTAAATCTATCCTCCTCCTCATCCTTTTGACATCCCTGCTGCAAACATGGAAACAGTCAAACAAAGACAAAAAAAAAAGTGATTTCTGTGGAAAGTTTCAGACTCAAAGTGTAAAAGTAAAAATAACAGAGGACACTTTATGCATGCTTTCGTAACCTGCCCTCTCTCCGGTGTGACAGGTTAGGGTAACTCAGTGGATGATGAAGTGATGGAGATGTTAGGAGGCCACCGCCATTGTGATGCTGGGTGGCTGTTACTCTGGAACTGCCATCTGCCGAAAAGGTCAGTTGCTAGGTGACAGTTCTCCTGGACCATGTCTGCCTCCCAGCTGCCATGCACACACCCACACACACACACACACACACACACACACACACACACACACACACACACACACACACACACACACACACACACACACAAACACACTAGCTTTGGCTGGCATACAAACTCACTCACATATGTATTGATGTTTTCCCTGAAATCTGAATTACATTTGAGTAAATTGGACCCACTGTTTCAGCCACTGTTAATTAATGCAATACTTTTCTGTAACTTTAGGTGAGGTTAGGTTGATTGTAATTCTTGTTAAAATATGTGTGTGACAAGGCTGTAAATATATATCTTATTACATAATGGCCCTGTGGTCACTTAATGGCACCATACAAATGCTTCTGATTATTGCATGAGCAGTCTAGGAGTGTTCCTGTCATAACAATACCATAATCAATTTGAACTTGGCTCACAGGATTACAATATAATGTTGCTGCAGCACAGTAATCCAATCAGTTTTGTGGGCCAGATCTAAGCCATGCCACATTGTCCATCACAACACTGTGAGCAGCCTATCATTCGGTGCGGTGACCCAAACCCAATGCTGAATTCTTTATCTTACGCCCTTCAAATTAAAGCCAACTCCACCCAACGGGCAAACATTTCTCCATGATTGAGCAGGAATTTTAATATGTAGCTGCTGTGCCTTCATTGTGCCATATTATCTTCCGCACATGTTCTAGAGTGATTGACCTTTTTGCTGTCTAACTGTAAGAAGCACAGTTTTGCAAAAAACACATTTTTCGATTCATTAAAGTGTCCCTTTCACCCTTGGGTCAAACACAGGGTGTTTTGTCGTAACTCTTATTGTCAAGTTGCTTAATTGGCAAATTAAGTTTGACCCCGTACACCTGCTATGTCAATGGTTTATTTCATTATGTTTTTAATACAAGCAAAGGATCCAAACAAAATACGACTAAAGTTTAGAACTTCTTCTCTCCTATCCTACCTTCTTGCTCTACTTCTTTATTTTCCTTCCTGCACCCTAATCTCGAGCTTGTGCTTCTTTACTGGTCCTCCACAGACATTGACTTTTGTGTGGCAGAGCTGTTGTTTTTGTTTGTGTCCTTCTCACCATGGCTGCCTGCTCGCCGCCTGGCAGCCCCGTGTGTCAAAGGTGGCTGCAGCAGAACAGACTGTGGGAACAGCCGGTTAGCCTCCCCTGGTCCCCTGCTCCCCAACCAGAGGGGCAGCCATCAATCCAGCGCTCCCCCGTGCCCCTGCACACACAAATGCCCAACCAAACACACACTCACACAAAAAGGCCTACAACACTCACACCCTCTCCCAATAATCCTCGGAAGCAATTTCATCTCGACTCGGGTGGCGGCCCATTGTCGCCAGCCCCTTCAATCTTTCCTTATTAACTCTCGCTTTGTCCCGCATCCGAGCTTCTGGACTCATCTCTCCTACATTCCGATCGGTGCTGCTCCCAGCACTCCCAGGCAACCTCCATTTGCTAATCCCACTGCCTCCCCCACCAGCCGCCCTACCCCAAGGAACTCTTACTGCTTTTTTTTCCCAACCTGCCGATCACCTACTTACAGAGTAAGGTAGGGGCATTAACTCCATGGGTTTTCTGAAGGCAGGGTGTGAAGGCGGGGTGGGTGAAGGAGGAGGCGGCCACAAAGTGACTCCAGCCCAGACAATTAGAACAATGAGCTGGGCCTGTAGGGGGCTAACTCGCTGCGTCACGCCTGGACGGTGGGGTATTTTGTCAGTTTAATGAATTGTCCGTCAGGCCAGGGCCACATCGCAGGCTGCGCAGGGAGAGGCCAGCAGGGACCCAGACACTAAGTCGGTATTTATTACACTGCCTTTGTCACTAATTGAGCTAATTATCACTGACTCCTCAGCACTCCCACAGGCAGCGCCCCCTCCACTCACTCTCTCTACCAGCTCTTCCACCTCACTCTCACGCCTGGGAGTTGAACTCTGCCTTCCTTCTTGTCTTCTTAAATCAGTTTTTTTTTTCTTTGCTATCTGTTTGTGTCTCTACAATCAACTTTTTATTCTCTATCAAGACACGTTTTTGTGATTTAAGAGCAACTGCTTTCTACTAACTTTTTCCTCACACTCATTTCAAACAAATCATTTATTCACATCTGTTCACTCCAGTTATACAAAAAGAAGTATATAAACGGTCTTCTTTAATCTTTTCAAGGTTCCTATTAACAAACTCTAATAGGTGATTTGTTTCATTTGAATCACATAAACTCTGTAGATTAAGTTTATTTTTTCTCTTTTTATTTTATGATTTGATTATTTAACTTTGTAATTTGTGTTAATACTCAAAGCAAACCAGCTCCCCTGTGATCTCTCACCTCTACCCTGTTACTTCAACACTATCATTCAGAAATCTTTTATCCTTGTCTTTGATCCTGTCTGCCCTTACATCTGCAACTATGTTGCTCTCTTATTGGGTCCCTTGGTTGTTTGGGTGCATGTTGGGGGCCTTACTTTGCCTCCACTGTGCTCTATCTGGATGACCCTGGCTGCTCCTGTGCTGTGGTGGGCTAAGTAGAAAGCTTCCCAAACTCCAGTGGTTAGTCCGGTCGCCAGGGGGCTCTAGGTTTTCATTACTTTTCATTGTATTTCTTTCTGAAATTGAGCAAATGAAGCAAACACTTTCAGTGCAGTAAAATTCCTATACTGTAGGAAATAAGTGGCTGGATAAGCAGGGGCCATCTCTGTGGTTGGGGGCCACAGATGCAGGGATGTTTTGTGAGCGGGAGAAAAGGCTGGTTTGGTGGTGGTAATAGGATTAGGCAGAGGACACCCAGGGACAGGCTTAAATGTTCACTTGGTTGGTTGTCAAAACTTTCTCAAACACTGGAACTACAACAGACATAATGGCATCTTTTGACACATTCAGGAGAGCAACTTAATTGAAAATATAGACTTTATTGTTCTATGGTACAATACAAAACCAACTGGAATCCTTTGATTTAAATCTAAAACATGTCTTCTTTTACATCTCTCTATAATAGTATAAAAATCCTCAGAAATAAATATTTTTTATTTACACTAATTCAAAAAAGGTAAATATTCAGTGCAAGAACAAACAAAAATGTTTTTACAGGAAACAAGCGAGGACGCGAAAAGGTTGGGTTTCTAGTTAGTCGGTTTTGTGTCTGCTACATTACTACACCAAAATAGAAAAAGGCATGAAGTCAAAGCATTTCCTGACTGGACAATAATGATAGAGCGTTCTCAAGCCAGCGACAGGCCCATAAACCCCCACAAATTTAAATTTCGTCATTATAAATATATTCATATATTTTAATATTTACAGCATTTTGGTTCTCCTAGCTGATATACAGTATAAGTTCTTTTGCAGTGGCTGTATTCTTACAGCCTTGCCTGAAGATAAACTTCATTTGCCTACTTTAAACCTGCTACACTCATGTTTTGGCAGCAATGTAGTGTCTTTTTCTTACTATGATGTATGTTTTTTTACTGCACTACGTTCGATAACGCAGTGATTCTACAGATCACATTTAATTCATTGTAAAGTACTGACCCCTCACATTTGGCAATCGACACATAGCCATGCCATACTATTCAGTGTAATGAAAATACATTCATATTACATTGCCTCAGTAAGATTTGTTCAGTACGTTTCTGTTTTCCTTGAAAAGGACTCGTCCTAGTCATGTAACCTCAGGATCACCTGTGGTGAGTCAGAGTGGCAAGCCAGGATTAAAGTGAATTCATCTCTGCAGAAATCTAAAAAGACAATTGGGCAAATGTGTTGAGGAAATAACAAGAGGATGGGCCTGCATCCAGGGCCTACGTACACAAGTCGGAAACAAGCTCAGCCCCATCGCGTGAAACTTCACGTAAGTGAGGCCAAACTATAACAGATTGTTTTTTCTAATATCTTTGTTTGTGGCTGTCTTGCCATGAAAACATATGTTCAACTGATGAAGACGTAGGCTGTTGTAGTGCTTGGATATAGCAATTGCTTTTTCGCTGCTTCGTTTTTTTTTCTGCCTCCTTGTGAATGAGCATCTTATGTATGAACAGTTGTGGCAATACTTTTCAGGATCAAAAAGCAAGGAGCAAGCACACATACTCCCTCTTTACCCTGTTAATATATTTGTGCTTTTCTTCACGTCGCCCTTTAAAACCACTGATTGAATTTTGTGCCAGAGAGTTCCCTGTATCAGTTTACCCGCCTTGAAGGTTTTTCTAGTGTCTATTTAAAACCTTATAACACCTCCTTGCTAGTGGCTTTCTCAGCCAGCTACCTGTTTTGCTAAGAAGTTCTTTGACTTAATATTCACTTAGTTGTCAACCTGTGATCATAGACACTGGTGTATTGTCCGTGTGCTGGTGCAGTTCAAGCAGCTGACGTGACAGCACCAGTGGAAGGTGCAGTGGCAGCGTTCAGTCACACTCTCGGTCCGAGTCTTAAACCCCCGTCCACAGCAGAGCAGCTCGCATCCGTCCAGGCCCAGAGAAGAGCTGTTGCATGTTCTCCCAGAAGTTCCCAGGGTGCCTGTTTTGCCATTGTACGAGCAAAAGTTTGGTGATTTCTCAAAATATACCAGGTCCATGGCAGAGGGGGGTTTGTGGGCCGGGTTTTCAGGCTCCAGGTGTCGGGGGTCGGCTCTGTGAGAGGCACGGTTGCTTCCCTTGTTGGCATAAACAACCCTGGATGCTCCATCGAACCGATCTTTAAGGAAGTCTCCAACAGTGCGAAAGCTTGGCAGGCGCATCCAACAGGTACGCACGGTGCAGGAGCCAGACATGCCATGACACTTACACTCCTGACGCATCTCTGATGATACAGTCTGCAAAGAGGAAAAACAAAAGCTGCTAAAGGACCCTTACAAAGCAAAGATGAGAAGTAATCTTAAAGTATGTAGACAATCTGACAAGTATGGCACATTAGAGTACCTTAACTCTTACCATTCTGCCAGCCTCATTATTGTGAAGGTTGGTGAGGTACCGCAGATCTCTGCCTCTCTCACTGGAGTCTACAAACTCACGGCTGAACATCCGTCCAAAGTCCACATTGTCACTGCAACCCCCCCAGTGCCAGTCTGGCCCTCCAGGACCTCTGCGCCGATAATCACATGTGCATGATTCAATGGCCCCCTCTGAGCAGGAGCGAGCCACAGCATGGGTCACCCCTGCGCTGGTAATGGCAAATACAAATGCTGTCTCTCGGCAACCTGAAGAAACAACGTTGAAACTTCACATTAGAACCTGAGCCTGCCATTTAGACATTGCCAACTATCTGCCCTAAATTGTAGGATATTTGCAGACAAGACCAATAGATTCCATTACACTATGCCCCAAATTGTCCAGATATTGCCTGTTAAGAAAGATAAGAGACGCTCACCACGATTGACAATTTTGCCAAAAACTGCTGGGCTGTGGGTGGTCGGGCAGTTCCAGCGCCGGTTGCGGAACTGCCACTTGCACTCCTTTATGGCAGTGTGCAGCCCAGCGGCGATGGCATGCAAGATGCCAGGATTCTGCCGAATCAGCCGGCGCTGGCGTCGACTCAGTAGGGCCAGGCTTGGGTCAAGGACCAACTGCACGTTCTTTGAATTGGTCAGGAGGTTGGATGAGGATGCAACATTGACAATGCCCCTGGCACAAGGAGAGGACAAAGGAAATCAGAGTCAAGGAGTTTGAAGTGTATGCTGGCAGTTTAAGAGGATCCTTCTGTGACCCTCTTAAATGGATGTTTCTTGGCATCTCTGTGTGTCTGTGCTGTTCAAAGTACAGATCTCATCAAGATTAAAAGTTGCATATGCTGCAACACATTTCTGGGTTGGCACACTATATATTTTTTTTACCTCTTTTTTATCACTGGGATCAGATTCCTAATTCAGATTCCTAATATGAGTATGTCACTCTTGTCTGCTTAATGTTCAGCATCTGTCACGATGTATGATACAGAGGCATCACACATTGAGATGTAAAATCTGAGTGTATTTGCATCTGTATTGTCCATCAGTGTAATCTGTCCCTTGAGATACTCTAAAAGCAAAAGAGAGTCATACTCTGAGACAGAATAAGGAATGTATTGCTAGATCATCAAAGTCCAGTCTCAGCCATGTTAATCTGGTCAAAATCACCCAAATTAGCCACCTATGCCACCTAAAAAAGTATATTCAAATCTCATTATGTAGGCTACTTAAAATAAAATGGCATCTTAATACTGATAACCAAGCACAAATATCTGAAAAAACAATAGCTTCATTTCTGTTGTCACTTGATATCAGCAAAGATTCAAGTATTAGGGGTCTGCCTCCTGGTAATATTTGTGTCTAAATGTGGCACCTGTGCTTCTGGCTTATTTTAAAATCACTGTTCAAAACTGAAATGCACCTATTTTGAGATAAGGTTTCAGATTATTTCTGGTCTGACTGTGTCAAACTGTATGAACTTCTTCTTAATGCATGGCATTGTCTTTAAGATGTCTTTGCCAACCATTTGTTTTATTCTCGTGCAGTATAATGGCTGTGTCTCCTGTTAAGCATTATCTTCCGGAAAGGCGGGCGAGTCGTGGCCTGTTAGAGGGCTGACCCAGACAGTTGTGTGGTGAGGCCTTAATAACATAATAATGTCGTCTTTTGGGTGTTTTCTTCATTCCGAAACTCCGTGGTGTCTCCTTCTTTTTCTGGATGTTTTCATGAATTTCAGCTGACAATTTAAATATTTGGAAACTCCGGGGTTTTTTTTTGCGCACACTGTCTATCTAATTCCACCGCAATAGAACGACACAATCTTTCGTTAAATCATTACCTCCACAAAACCCAGCCCACAGTTTATAGATTTTTAAACAATCGAGACAATGTGCCCGCTGACGCAAAACCAGACGGATCCGAATTTAATTTTGTTTTCTATAACAAAAAAAGTATTGAGAAATTGGCTGTTGTATGTCACTGTTTATAGACAGACAGTGTACAGTATTAAGTTGACAAGACCCCGGATAAGACATGGGTTTGGGAATGTAATAAATCCATATTTAATTTATCCCACATTGCACAGAAAAATGTTGTATCGTGTTCAAACCACACTGACCAGAAGTTGGGGAAACTGAGAGGGGGATAGCAAATTAAATCTACCGCAAAGAAAAGGTAAAACTGTAATTATTACAAATATAATTCGTTCATTGTTAAACCCCGTTGGAACTAATTTCTTTAAACGGACGATAAATTAAATAGTTTGCAGTTGAGCTCACGTGGAGAAATTTGAAAAAGCCACACGCTTTAATATCATGCGGTTGCTCTTTTTTTTTTTTTTTTTTTCAGAGGAGGCTGAACACCAGTTTTGCTTGGTGCCAAAACTAACACATTATTTCCAGCATGCAGCATGGGCTGTGGTCAAAACCTAAAACTGTGTTCATGCGAAGGCGCAGGGTCTTCCCCCGCTCACACCAACGTTACATCCAGAGTTTATAGGCTGCTGATAAAGTCAATCGATGCACTCATCACATGCAGTGTCTGGTCAACTCACCACCACCGGCCGCTGTTGTTGACGGCCACTGTGCCTGAGAGCGAGGACACCAGCAGGATGCACGCGGCTTTTACTCCTAACAGCAGCGCGAGACTCCTCATCGTGTCTGAAGTGTGAAACGAAAAAAAAAAAAATCAATGTACTACCCTTTATTATCAAGCTGAATTAATTCCTGGTTGTTAATGTATTTGACTTTCAATCATCTGAACTCTGAAGCAAAAATATGTATATATTAGCTAAAGTATAAAAAATAGGAAAATCCACAGTCCTAAATCAAGAAAATGTATGCAAGCCTACCTGAAATTGCATTTGTATCCCTACATTATGGTTGAATTACATGTAATAAGGGGTAGGCCTGCTCGTGATATTGTATTTTTATCTGTACTTAATCATTTTTAAAATGCACATGCAAATTGCATATACTCACCTAGCCACAGTCCGCTGAGAGGAATTGAAAGGTGGGAGAAGCAGGCAGCCCTAATTGACTTAAATGGATCTTGAGTGCAGACAGGTTGCTAAATGATGTGAAGTGTCCAGGCAGGATGCTGCTGCTGCTGCTGCTGCTGCTGCTGCTGTCCTCTTCACTCTGTCTCTCTCAGTGATGCTCTGCACGGCGCATTGAACGCGTGGGACAGTCCCGAAGACTTGATCCCCTCGGTGACTGATAGGCAACACATTCTTCTCTTATTGAGCGCTACGAGGGGAATAAAAAAGGGATTTGCTGCTCTCATCTCCCTCTGTTTTTTTCGGAGCCTTTTCAATAGGATTTGAGGGAGGGATAGTTAATGCTCTTCATAGGGCGCACAATGAATAAGGAAGCACAACTGGGCAGGAAAGAGAAAGGAAGAAAAAAAAAATAGGGCAGTCCACAGTGTTGCGCATATTACTTGTGGAATCTCACGGTCATCACAGAATCGATTCCCTTTAAATGTGTGCGGTTGAGAGTATTTTCCCATTGGCTGAGCGCTCTCCTCAACATGCAGCCTTGCAGAAAGGAGAAGAGCCCTTGAAGCAGTGATGTGTTGGTGGAGATGCTGAGGGTGCGTCCCGGTTTGGTGCTCCACTGCTGCTCAGTGTCACGGTGAAAACCAGTTACAGCGGAATATGAGCCATCCAAAACTGCCCTTTTAACCCGGTGGTTGGATTAGCCTACTCCCTAACCGCATCTCCTCCTCCTCTCTCCAAATGCGCTCTCCAAATGTGCAGTCACTAAGTACATTTCGTCTCCTTCCAACACTAATCCCTCCACAAATACAGACTTTGTTTTTTTACTTTATTACACATATTAATTTCTAATTAAAGGCTAAACGTGGCGTTTTACGTGGGTTCCTTGATATATTTAGACATTAAATTAGATCGGGCTCAATACACAAAAGTTATGTCAGCAACCAAAGACGCACGCGCACGCACGTCGGAACTTGATTGTAGACAGAAGTCTAAGCTCTTGGTTGTCATATAACTCACACTGCCTGCTGGGCTTAAATATTTTTCTCGAACGTGGTGAAGATGAAATACGGTCTCCAATCAAAAGTTTGATGTATGATGAACCGGGAAAAGATGGGGAAAAGTCAGAATTAAAACCATTCCAACATCTGGCCTGCAGACCTCCCTCGACGCACATGTAGCGCAGTGTAATCACAGCTTGAGCCACTTTGCGGCATCTCCATCTAACCTCAGACTAGGAGCAGACTTCAATGTCCCCAAACTACTCCATATATCGGTTCATGGGCGAATGTTTCATTATGTGACATTTATCTGCTAATTTGCATGCTCCACATTAGTCAGTGCAACGGTTGTAGCTTCAATAATCCCCCCCCCCCCTCCTCTTCCCTCTCCATCTCTCTCCCTGTCTCTCTCTCTCTCTCTTGCTCCTTCAGATGACAGTAAAAGGAAGTGGGCTTTTGTAAAACGGCTTTAATGACAGCCATCCTACGTTTATTCTGCAGCTATATATGAAGGTGCTCAAACGGGTTTCCTGGAGCAGTCATGCGACACCGAGCAGATTAGAGCTTCAATCCGGATAAAGGGGGGCCTTTTATATACAAATCAACTTCAAATCACTTTTTAAGCCACTTAGATATACACGCCAAGGCAGAATGCTAATGCACTTTTCATTGCAGCAGCTTAGGGAATGGAAGGAGATTAGATGAATTGGTGTCACTATGCGAACCGTGTTCGAGGGGGGTTTCAACTTAATTTTATGAAAGTAACCCACATGCACCTTGTTCGTTAGAGCGAGAAAAAAAAAATCATGATTCAATTTAATTGTTATTTGTTAACAATTATCAGTTTCATACGCAGTGTTACGAAATAGTGACCTGTTGCTTCAGAAGCAGATTTTGTCGGATGTAATTTGGATCCTTTTGGCTGCTTCGGTGCTGAGCCGCAACATCACTCAAAGTCCCATCAGAAGGCCTGAGCGTCTGCTTTCACTGGCCTATCACTCCGCATTAAAAAAAATAAAATATTTTTGAATACTTGAGATGCTGTTTGGTGTACGCTAAATTCATATAACGAAGGCCTTTATGCCTTTTTAATGCAGCAGCCATCTCTATGAATCCATACATTGTATCTGCACATTACTGAGTGAGAATGTCATAATCTGATAAATGATCACAACAATCAGGCGTGTCACTCCGGTAATTTATGCAAGTCATTTTATACTCTCAAATAAAGACTTTGCAATGACAAAGTGAAAGTTGTTTCAAGAACAGCCGCTGTGACGGAGGTGGGAGGAAGGGGGGAGCACATGACTAAAAACAGTATTGTTGGAGGGTCTGTTAGCGGAGCCGCCTGCCTGCTGCTGACTCCCTGTCGTACAGTGGAACCAGCAGCTCTCCCCTCCCCCTCATTCATCATTTTATTCACCCCTTTATGAAAAAAAAAACCCCGTTGGCTTCCCATATTTCATATTTCCTAGCCTTTCTTAGTTCTCATATCCAAAAAATGTGAAAATACATGCCATAGCCTATTGGCCTATCAAGAAAATGTACGTCCACATCCGTTTATATTAATGCACAATATTTAATATGTTTTTTATGAGAGTGTATTGTGCTTATCCACCAACATTTCAAAGTTTTGCTCACGCTTTGGTGAGGGGTGTTTTGTGCGTAAAATCCTGGAGACGTCGTGTTACTCTTGCGCAAATAATCAAAAACTGAAATAATAAAACGATCAACTGCAGATGCAACTTTCATATTGGCCAATATTAGTGCAAACAGCCGCCTGTAGAGGCATCTCCCCTCCCCTCTTTCTCTCCCCCCTCCCGTTTACTCTCGCCCCCGAGCTCCTCTGTTCTCCGTCTTCATTCTTCGGTCATTTGGCGGTGCATCGATAATACTGCAATCATCTTCCTTTTGATACTCTTTTTTCCCGGCACAGGACTTCATCAACAACGTTTTAATGTCACGTCCCGAAAGACGCGTCACAAAATGGAGCTATCAAACAAACTCCGTTGGGACCAATTCCTGATTTTGGCAGCAGCACTTCTGTCACCTGCATTAACGTGAGTGCACTTAAGAGCGCCAGGAGAGCTGATGTAAATGCGGTTCTGGCTAGATGGAATGCAACGAGAGTTTAAGGGAAGTTTTCTGTGTGCGACTGTTTGATTGAACTATTGAACATATTAGAGGTTAAAAGTGAAACATCTGCCCGTTGTTTGGCAGGCAGATCATTATTTCTGAAACAATGGTATCCATGTTTAACAAGTTGTGTAGCCTTTTAGGAGTCTGATCGATGCCCTAAAGAATTTCATAGAAATCCCACTGTTGTTATTTCTATAAAATATAGATTTGGTTAAGTACTTTTTGCCTTTGGGAACTCTCAGCTAGATGATCTGTTTGGAATTATATTTTTCCCTGCTCCAACTAAAGTCAGTTGGAAAAAAAGGAGTTGTGCAATTGTTTAACACATTTATTGTTTAGTTTATTCAGCAAATCCCTTAGAGGTTAGATTTATGTGGTATCATATCCTTTCAAAGTCTTTGTCTTAACCGTTCACAACGTCTCGCCATTGCAACATACCTCTCTGGATTTGACTAATGAACTCCTAACCAGCCCTTATGACCCCTTACCCTCCACTAACTTATCCACCCTCCTCTATCTCTGCAGAGTGCTGTGCAATGACATTCTCAGCCTGAAGGTGGCAGGAGATCCAGTGCTAACCCCCAACTCTGTGTGCTTGAGGCTGGCAGGCCTCAGTAAGCGTCAGATGCGGATGTGTGTACGGAGCCCTGATGTGACGGCCTCGGCTCTGCAGGGCATCCAGGTCGCCATCCACGAATGTCAGCACCAGCTCCGGGGCCAGCGCTGGAACTGCTCCTCACTCGAGGGCCTTGGCAAGCTTCCCCACCATAACACCATCCTCAACAGGGGTGAGAATCTGGAGAAGAATTGATGGACTTATGAGATTGTTCTGGGCAGAAATACAGTACTGTTCTACCAGTACACTGTTAATCTCTTTCATCCCCTTGAGTGTGTGTCTTCTGCTCTCAGGTTTTCGTGAGAGCGCCTTCTCCCTGGCTTTGTTGGCAGCGGGTGTGGCTCACTCTGTGGCCTCAGCCTGCAGCATGGGCAAACTGCGGGGGTGTGGCTGCGAGGCCAAGCGTCGCCAGGACGACGACAAGATCCGACTGAAACTCACACAGTTGCAGCTGCAGACCCTGCAGAAGGGCGGGGTAGGACTTGGCATGGCACGGTCATTACCCCCAGAGCTAAACAGTCACCATGGCGACCTGCCCGCTAACCTGCGCTCAAACCATCCATCTGCCCTGCTCAAACCTTTACCAGAAGAGCTGATCTCCATGCAGGAGACCTGGGAGTGGGGCGGCTGCAGTCATGACGTCCGTTTTGGGGACCGTTTTTCCAGAGATTGGCTAGACTCCCGGGGGTCTCCAAGAGACATCCATGCTCGCATGAGGATACACAATAACCGCATGGGACGACAGGTGAATGATGTGATTGTCCACTGTGTTCTTCATGTTCCTGACAGCAGTGTACTTTCTTAAACAAAATATATCATCAGGGTCATTTTATTTTCCTGATTTATTTACATCAAATCTCTTTCTCTACACAGATAGTGACAGACAACATGAAGAGGAAGTGCAAATGTCACGGCACATCAGGAAGCTGCCAGTTTAAGACGTGCTGGCATGTTTCTCCAGAGTTCCGTCTTGTGGGTTCTATACTGAAGGAAAAATTCCTGTCAGCCATCTTTGTCAACTCTCAGAACAAGAACAACGGGGTTTTCAACCCTCGGACAGGAAACAGCGCCGGCGGGAGTGCAGGAGGACTCAGTGGAGGTCGTCGCAGAAGCATGTCCAGAGAGCTGGTGTACTTTGAGAAGTCTCCTGATTTCTGTGAGCGTGACCCGTCTGTGGACTCTCTGGGCACACAAGGGCGCATCTGCAACAAAACCAGCTACAGCACAGACAGCTGCAGCTCGCTGTGCTGTGGACGTGGACACAACATCCTGAAACAGACACGCAGCGAGCGCTGCAATTGTAGGTTCCACTGGTGTTGCTACGTGTTGTGTGATGAGTGTCGTCTCACGGAGTGGGTGAACGTGTGCAAGTAGATTCCAGTTCTCCCAGTCACAGCTGCCTTTACCCGCCCAGGACTCATGATGGCGAGCCTATCCCTTTGCCTCTCTGCCGTTGTTTGTTTTTGTTCCTTGTGTAACTCTGCCATAGAATCTGTTTATTCCCCCCTTTTCCTTTTTTCAGTCCATCATCTGGGATCTATTTTCTCTTTGTAGCCGCTGTTATTCTCAAAATGCCAAGTCAGAGATTGAAGAGGTGACTCATGTCGTTTGTCTTGCCATGGTCTGTTTAGACGCTGCCCTCTCAGCCATGAAAATGGCCTATACCCCGTCTTTTCTAACCCACACAACAAAGACAAGCAACAGCAGAGAAGCTGTTGACTAGTTGATGACTTATCTCACTGTGTACAGTAATTGTGTATTTTAATGTGTACTTGTATATTTGTAAATGTATTATTAATATTATTTTTGTGTCTCAGCCTGTGTTTTTGGTCCTGGTTATTGGCAGGTTCTGGTTGCACTGATCGGACACCATAAATTGATGCTCCCCCCCTTTAATCAACAGGTTTCAGGTAAATTTGGCATGTGACATAACAGAAAAAAACAATGCAGTGCTAGCAGACAGTATAAGATTAGTAGCAAAATGTCAGCAATATGCATTTTCACCATCAATAAATACCAGGGTTTTTTAATCTCACTGTGATCAAAAAGTAAGTATCAACTGAAACTCAAGTCCAGTTATCAAGTCACATGAAAACTCAACAATGAAAATACCTTTATGGTATTGAATCTAAGTGTAGTTGATTTCTAGGTGTACCCAAATAGAAATTCAAACTAACCCTTTTTGAGTCATGGAAGTATTCCTCCATCACACTTTTTGATACTGAAGTCAGTGTGAAAGATCGACTGAAAAACGGTATCATAACATTTCTGTTGGTGAATATGTGCTGTTGGACAAATCCTCACATTTTACTGTGCTCTTCTAAAGATCTTTAAAATATTTACTCTGTATGTTTTGAACATGGTACACAGACTGAGCAACAGTAATTATTTTGAAAATCTTTATAGTCTCGCATTTTACTAGTTATTGACTACATAAAGGGCATCTTTGTGGCTTCTCAAGTGTTGATATGTGTGATAGAAAAGTTTCTGACCCTAAGCAATGACACAGTAAGCAGCTCAGCTTAACAAAGCTTTAAATCACAATATTTGAGATTGGATAAACAACTGTTCTGGCGACAATAATCCTTCAAAAGAGTGATTTCTAGTGTTCAAGCTGATATGACATCATATCAATGTTTTGACAGAAATATGCTTCCTCTTTAAATAACTGTGATCAGATGTGTCACTTTCCTATGAAACCACGTCTGAGCTCTCTTATTTTTGTTCCTGCTTTCCTTTCCATCAGTCAGAGAGCTTCTTAGATTCTTCCCACATGTAGTACATGTCAGAGTGAGAGATGGACCTGCTTTAGTACTGATGCTTAAGACTGTGTGTATGTGTGCGTGTGTCTGTCTGTTACTGTGTAAATGGGGGGCAAATTCTATGCACTTCAGATTTGGGAGGTGAGAGCCTTTTTTATGGCCACTTCATGCTGAGAGAAGGACTTTTTATGGCTGCAGGATATTGTTTCCTTCAAGTATGACTTTTATTACTGGAGAGAAGCATGGAGAGAGTAGAGAGTGGGGGTGATTATACCAGTCTTTGCTTTTTGAGCATCTGAGGGGATCATCTGTGCAGACGAGGTAGGGGCTTCACTAGACCAAGGAGTGCAGGGTCCCTTGTTTCCCGGGAGACATAATACACAAAAAATAAATACAGGCACATGAACACATGCATGCACTTATGTACAAAGACACTAACATAACTGGCACACATGCACAATTGAAAACATGCATGCTGTTGCACACAAATGAACTGTCAGAGAGTTTGCAGTCTAGCTATATTGCAGATTTAGCAAAACTCTAATGTCAACACCTGACTGAATTAATGATTGCAGCATTCCGAGATCTCTTAGATGATCTCAATTGTCTCCTGGGAAAATCTCTTCTGCCATATTGGGTTTAATGCCAATTACGTGTCGTTTGCATGGACTTGAGTAAATATACCTCGACTCCTGAGGAATGACAGTGCCAGTGGCTGAATCGACTGCGCTGCCTGTTTGATATTTAGCAAGAGAATAAAGGGAGACAGCAACGGGTGAGGAATGATAAGGGAATGGATTTCTGGTTTGCATTTCTTCATTCCTTTATCATTTCACCCTGGAGCTGCAGCAAAAGAGAATTTCCTGTCACTGTATCTCCCCATGTGTGAGACAGAGGTTGCTGGACTGCCTGCGATTGCTTTCTCTCCCGCCATGTGCTCCTCTCTCTCTATACCCCCCCCTTCTCTGGAAAGAGACACATGCATTGCAACACATTGCCCCCCCCCCCCCCCCCCCCCATCCCTTAGTAATGACATCCAGACTGGGCTGAAATTAAAGAGAGGGAGGCAGAGAGAGGAAGTAAGGGGAGATAAAAGTTACCCGCTTTGATTGACAGGATGATTATATGTATAAAGTAAAGCGATTTAGTGTGTTTAGTTGGATATAAAGATGGGGAGATAGATCATTGCTGTACGTACAGTGTGGATGCAAAAGCAAGGGACAAATGGGGTATGGAGAAGGGGGTGAATAAAGTGTACTCTGTATAAATACATGCCCCAAAACATCTGCTTCTCAACTCCCCTTTCATTTTGATGTGGGACAGGCAGAGAAGGAGAGCGGGAGAGAGAAAACACAAGGAGCCAGCTACCCAGAACATCAAAGCCCCTGCCCTCAACGCGCAGGCCCTCATTAGTTCAGCTAGCAGAACCAACGAGACTTGTGATTGTGTTTGCTGGGGTGCACGCTGGCAGACACTTCAGAGGAAAGACTCCTTTAAGTCATAACTCCACACCCCACCTCTCCTGCCACCACCCGAGCCCGCTGTAACCCCCCTGTAACCCTCTCAAAATATATATAAAAAAACTCCCCTCTCACACAAACTCAGCAGGCTCCCCCACCATCCACTCCACCCCATAATCTGCTCTGCAGCTGCAAACATCTGCTCCCCTCTTTATTCCTCTGCCCTCACCACTGAATTGATAAACACATCTATCACCAGACCACTAACTGACACACAACAGAGAGGAAGAGGTAGGCAAATCATGGATGCACCTGTGGATGAGGGGCTGATCTCGGGCACGTCATTCGGTCACTATGGGTTGGTTTTGTTTGATGGTTAAAAGGTTTAACCCACACCTAGGGTGGGAGGCGGAGTTCCTTCCTTACTCCTACATGCATTATCACCTTTAGAACCACATGAATGTATTGTATTATCTTTAAAACATACTAAACCTTAATAAAAAAAAAAGTACTCAATGTTAGTAATCAGCTATAAAAAAAAAAGATTATGTTTCCATGTTTTGTTGCCTCCTGTCCCGTCATTATCTGTGACACTGAGGGTTGCTTCAAGCCTGTCACTTGGCATCATATTACACTCTACTATTTACTTATTTATTATCATGATCCCTGTTTTAATTATTCAAGCATGTTTGCCTGCAGACACTCTTCAGCAATTCAAATCGGTTTAGTTGTTGATATCCTGAAAAGCACAGAAAAAAAAGGAATGAAACCTGCAATGTCTATTTGCCAGAAATAATCATTTCTGTGTGAATCTTTTAAAAAAATAAAAAAAATAGCTCTCTAACCAGCAGTTCACGTCTCGGGGCAAATTGAGGGGAATGTTACACACAATTCGTTTTATAATTTTATACACAATGAATACAGTTGCCATAAAAAAATAAAAATAAAAACCATAGGGCTCAAACGAGTCATTTGTGTCAAACGTGAGAAGAGGTGCTCTTGACAACCCAAGTACCGCGAGAACACACGCCTACCAACCTCTTTATCATCGCGAGAACAACATCCCGTCCTTTGCCTGCCTAAATCCAGCTGGTATCCTGCCTGCCGTTGACGGGTAAGTGTGAATGAGATGCAAATGGTGAAAATACTCGAAAGATGTATGAAAGCAATTAAGGAAACCGCAGCACAATTGCCGCTGTTTTAACGCCTTGTCAAGGCTTCTCAGTAAATGCACGGACGTTAATCGACGACACCAGGCCGACTGGTGCAGCTTGTCGTGACTGTAAGAAGGCATTACTGCTTACAAAATGATCCGGAGATTTTTCTTTTTTTTTTAATTTGAAGATATTGTTTGATATTGTTGCTCGCTAATTACATTCAGATACTTATGGTTTCACGCTATGGTGAAGACGTAATGACGTAATGTATCACCTTCTTGGACTGCTGCAGTAGCCGTCTTCACCTCGCGTTGTGACAGATGTGCATGGTTGTACGGCCACTGCAGCTGTGACAGGCTATGCTTAGCGGCTAAAACCTGAGCATCTCATAAAAATCACTAGTAATGTATCGCCATTAACAGACTCAGTTTCCAGCACCTGGAAGGTAATGAGTACGAAAGTGGCTTTAAAGATGAAAAAAGAGGGTCGCCCTTTTTGTACATGGATGTATGTTTCTGGCTTCTTTTGGATCATCCCATGTAACATCAAATGCACCGCAGGTAGAAGATGTTGGCACAAGCTGACAGAGTTGGCCTGTGTCATAACCTTTTTATTCATTCTATGGGTCATAATTTAAAAGCGCACAACTTATGGTTTAGGCTGTGTATACTGAATACTTTACTACAGTCTGATAATGTTTCATTTAACATGCTATAAATTGTTTCACTGTTGACATATTTCCTTTTGAAAGGAAACAGTGGAAAGGGTGGTTACTCTGCACCAGTAGGAAATTGATCCCATTTCCCTATAGCTAGTTCTCAATTGTGTAAGCAAAAGCCTTTAAGTCAGGTCAGCTGCCAGCCAAGGTGTGAATTCTCCTTTTAGTGGCTTTCCTCTGAGGTGGCCTCAAGTGCTTAATGAGGTGGTAAAGTTAAGAGCTGCTTTTGCAGAGCTACTGTGTGTTGCTGTGTGTGTGGTTGTGACTTTCTATATGGGGTTGTTGCTATGTATGGAAAGTTGTTTCATCAGTTCCCTGTGTACCAGTTCTGTAGCAGCTGAGGAGAGCCGCCAGTCATCATGGGAAACATCTTTGGCAACCTGTTGAAGAGCCTTATAGGCAAGAAGGAGATGAGGATCCTCATGGTGGGGCTCGATGCTGCAGGGAAAACCACCATCCTCTACAAGCTGAAGCTGGGAGAGATCGTCACCACCATCCCCACAATCGGTGTGTGAGGAATGAATGAATTACTTACACCCTGTCAGTATCATGGCTAAAAGCTCCTGTGAGTCATTTTGATTTTGCTTTTTATTCAGGCTTCAATGTAGAGACAGTGGAGTACAAGAACATCAGCTTCACCGTGTGGGATGTGGGTGGCCAGGATAAGATCCGGCCCCTGTGGCGTCACTACTTCCAGAACACCCAGGGTGAGCCCGTGCAGCAGCTTTTTAGATGATACACACATCAGCCCTGTTTAGGGTCCTCCCAGTCCCGTGGCAATTTTTGCTTCACATGAAATGTCCAGCA